TTGCGAACGAGCTCGTCCCAGAACTTCGTGTCCTGGCTTTTGCACATTCAAGGCTGCGACTTTGGGCTTTGATGGAAGCCTGCAGCTAGCTGCAACCTGCAATCCACCTCGTACGCATGAATGAAAGCTCTGATTTAAAGTTCGAGACACATAGAACCGTCTGGGACCCTTGATAAAACCCTTGTAGAAGCAGAAGTCTGCAAATCTCCTTACAAAGGCCCCCTTCTCCGGAGCTATAGGCCTCAAGCACGCTCCAACCCCCAAAGCCTCATGGAGGAACTTCGCGGCGAACCGGAAGGCGGCCATGTTGCCTGAGTTGAACAGGGCAAACAAGGAACCTGGAAAGCTGGAAGGCTCTGTCCGAAAAATCAAAAATCGGTGCAAAATGTGGCCGTGAAAGGACACCCCATCCACTGCAGATGCATCCCCCCCCCTCCGCAGGGAACTGTTAACAAAAATTACCCAGATTAATTGAAGCAGATTGGACATCCGCCCAGTTCCCGACCAATGGTTCTCTGCAGCTGCATCTCATAGCTTCCTTGAAGCCATGACAAAGTTGTGCCCAAGCTTGTGGCGTATGAGCATACGGCATCGATGGATGGAGTGGGAAGTGGCGTCTCTTCAACCTCATGTATCATGAAAAAGTAGCCTTGTCTTCGACACTTACCACCTGCAGCATCAAGTTTTCACTTCCCCCCGCCTTTTTGCAAGGTTTGCGCACGCATGACAGGGAAGTCATGCATGTGCCTTTTGGTGGACTGCCTAGAAAGGTGCCTTCCTGCTGGCCGAATGAGATGGGCGTGCGCTAATTCCGTGTTACTGTTGCTTCCAGCTAACACACAGGAAGACACACACCAGAAATGTTGTGCCTCAGAGTGTTCCCGGCGCGGTTTGCCGCCGAATCTGGGTTCTTCGACTTACACAAGAGACATCAGACAACAAAAAGGCTGGCATGAGGCCAAAGAGAAGGCGAGCTCTGTTTTGTCCGTGTCGCGGTTTTTTTGGCAAGATGTAGCGAACCGACTTGGGGATGACTTTGGCACTTCGGATCATTCAGGGGGCCCAATCCAACCGTAAGCCCTAAATCCTGAATAGAATACTATACTATACTATACTATA